ATTCGTCCAAACCTGGGCAAAAGCATCCAATCATCGTGTCGTGGAGTACATGCAGCGGAAAGACATGGCGGGCAGTGCTGGTAAAAAACACATTCTGGCCGATGCTTACGGCGCTCCAGCACATACTTCCGTGGTGCATCTGCGACGTCCAGAGCCGGCATTCCCCGCTTGCTCGTCTTGGGCGTGATTGGCTTCGCAGCACTTGCCCAGCTCTGCAAGCTCTGGTTTCCCGAGGCTGAGACGACAACTCAAAGAGGGACCTGAGCCGCGCTACCGGCACAGCGGACGAGATCGCTGAAGGCTACCTGCAGCTGGCGTCAAATTTTAGCTGCGTCGGTGGTCAAGCTGGTATCGCGTCGAAGGGTAGGCTGGTCGGGAAGCAGGAGACGCGTAACCCTAGCCTCAACCGTTGGGCCCTTCGAAATATGGTCTTGTCTTTGGGTTAGTATGTGCATACAAACCGCAAGAGGTTTCCTGTACGAGCCGCCACGAAGCGGCTCACATTTGAATCCGACACGCCATACGCAGCTTCGGGTCCTACGCAGCGCTTCTGCTCTCGCTCTCGACCGCCTACATCGGCGCCGCCGGCGCGGCGACGTGCTCCCCCATCCAGTCCGACACCGACTATTTCGGCAACGACATCAAGTCGACGGCCCAGACCAACCCCGCCAACTGCTGCAACGACTGCGCGGCGACGCCGGGGTGTGTCCTCTACGTCTGGACGAGCCAGAGCGGCGGGACGTGCTATCTCAAGAGCGCCGCGGGTACCTCATCTACCAAGCAGGGCGCGCAGTCGGCGTTTCTTGGCACCACGACACCGACGCCGACACCGACGCCGACGACCTGCGCCAACTACCAGAGCAACGTCGACTACCCCGGTAACGACATTACGTCGACGTCCCAGATCAACCCGCAACTGCTGCAACGCTGCACTTTGACGCCCGGCTGCGTCCTTTACGTCTGGACGACTCAGAGCGGCGGCACGTGCTACCTCAAATCGGCCCAAGGCGCGTCCATCACCAAG